AGATAGAACCCGATACGATTCCATGATTTTTGACCAGAGAAAATTATCTCTTGTCCCAGCGATCAGAGGTCGGGTTCGGTATGTAAAAAACTACTGTCCTGGATGTGGAATGTCCGACTCCGCATACCCAGAATCTCAAACGACACTGCCATGTTCAGGATTAGAAATTTTATATGATATCGATATTACCCGATATAGAATGGAGTCCTGTATGGGAACAGATTATAGGTTCTGCTTGCTTCATCAAAGAGGTACTGCACAACGTTGCCGGCACACACCTAATGGCCGCCAAGGTCTGAACAATTTCGCTTCTGCTCGCCATTTGCAACGTTCCCAAGCTATGTAGCTCGCTGTTCGGAGTCTCCAAGCGGCGACATACCCAAAGCAAAGTTCTTTCACGTCATCGATTGGGATGACGCGATTTCATTTCAAGAGGCACTTCTCCACACACCTGAAGGAGAAAATGAATATGAGGCCTAACTCGCTTATTATTTCGCCGAGAACTATAAATCCATTTCCCTCAACTCGGTATCGGTCTCGCCTTCGATCAAACTCTTTCCAGGACACCCCAAGGCCAGCCATCATCTCAACCAAGTGGCACATCGTCATCGTGTCATAAGGCTTAATGACAGTGGTGGGTATGGTATCCCACCTTTTGCGTTTCCGTTGCACCGCAACAGTAAACGTATGAGCTTCTTCCAAAGTTGGTGGGCTTGGTGGTAGGCTTTACGTTGAAGCGGTCCTGTTAGGCGGCCCAATATTTCGGTACTGTTTCTCCTGCCATTCACGAGACGTCTGCTTCATCTTTTGCACGACAAGAAGTAACACCAACCATGGGGCACGCTCGTTGTCGGCCGTGTGCATTGTCTCCTTGAGTGACCTTTTTGCATGCTCCTTGCGCAAATCGACTTCGGAGTTGGTGCCAGTTTCTTCCAGGCTCTGATATGTGCCTTTTAAGTAGAAAATCTCGGCATCAGGGACGGGCCCTCTCTCGTTGGTGGCTGCTTAAACAAGTATGACGGGTTCTTCGAATTGAACTTCGTATCGAAGCTCTTCCCAAGAGAATTTTCTGGATTTTGACTCGGCCCATTCACCCATGACCTTTTCGTTGCACTGTGTATAGCCTCGGGCGGAGGCATAATACCGCTGAAGGACGTGCATGAAAGTTGCCATAAGAGCTACGACTGACACGAGATAGCCACCACGGCTACGATCAGCTCGTTATCAGACATTTTTGCAAGCACTTGTCTGTGTTCCCTTCATTGAGCAGATTATGGCTGTCTACGGTCTTCGGCCAGACCGCATCATGTACGATTGCCCGCAATTTTCATCGAGTCTCGTCCATATGAGAGTCTTGCCAAGGACTAATACCTCGGGGGAAAAGATCCGGTACGATATGAACCTTCGAGTCTCAAATCTGGCGGAACTACTTTGGCAGAAAACAAACTGATTGCCATACACTTGGACTCTTGCAGAGCAAACTTGACAGGATCCCGCCCGAGATTTTGCTCAGTCTCGACTTTCAACCATGTCGTACCCCTGACAGCCTCATTTGGCCGACGGCGGGATTCAGCCGCAGACCCGTCCAAAGACCGGGCGTTTATGGGAACTCGGTCAACCCAGGTTCACTTCTTGCTGCATGGATCAAATAGCGGCGATTTATGATGTTGGAAAACCAATTTATTAATGTGTGGACACTGGGGGCTGGCTTGCTCATGATCAGAAAAAGACTAGAGACATTTCGGTCTCATGAGGCCCAACTGCGCGCCGAGTCCAAGATGGTGCCTCCATGCCCAACCACCACCCTACTTACCTTGTCGTCCCTGTCAATTAGAGGAGGTTCCTCTCGATGAAGTTTGACTGCGCCAATCTCTTCGTTGACAAGTGTCGACGCCAGCTATCAAGCGGTCGTCATCTTCTGGCTACCGTCTGCACCTAAATCCATTCCCATCTTTGGCGGGCACTCGATTGTGTAACCCGACATACTCGCTGCTGCCGTTCCCATTTGGAATCATTCCAATCTACACAGGGCTTCTCATGCAGTCGGGGACGGATAGGTTCATTGGGTTCAGCTACGGGAATCATTCAATCTAATGAAACTGCCTAAAGCCTGAAGCTTAAACCTGGCCCAGGGATTTGCAGCCAGCCGATCAACGCAATCGTGGGCTCTATTTATATTCATAGAGGCTATTTAGCAAGGCAGACCGAGACCCTGTAAGCAAACAAAGAACACAGGCGTTGCACGGAGGCGTGCTCCTTGTACGGCTGTTGTTCCAGTCCTGGTTGGAGGACGTGCACTGACATTTGGCAGCAAACGAAGGACCGTAAGCATCGTCACTAGTAGATGATATTACTTTACGGGAAACCAACAACCAACCGTCCTTCCTGTGCCTTATAGTAGTACTGCCCTGCTATCAATAGAAACCGAGACTGGACTCTTTTATAAATCAGGAGCCAAGTGAAGACTATGGCGTCAACGCGCGCCGCAAATTGTGCAAATAGCGTGATGGAATCGACGCTGAAATGTGCCGGCTGTATAGACAGGCCAAAGTACAGTCTTGGGGATTCATTCAAGATTATGTAGCCCAGTTATGACTGTCGCAAAGACCTTTGGCCAGGACACAAGGCTTAGTATCGTGTTGGGCAAGGAGGGGAAAGTTTTTACTAACAGCTAATATACCCAGGGCGGCCCTATTGACTTAAGGGAAGTGATTTTCGATGTTGGCCTCACAAAGATGGAGTTTGGAAATGACACTTAGCGATTGTATCAGAAGCAATAACCCCTCATCGTAAGAAGCAAATAGGGTCATTTCTCAGCCATCTTATCAGGGACGCAGATCGCAAAGAGACGGCATTTGCAAGTAATCAATGCATATCCGCGATGGCATGACTGTGTTCCCTGATGCGAAAGCTTTTTAATGGTCAGTTATTGTCTTGGATCAACTCCCACCTAGTAACTGTAGAAATTATACTCAGTAACCTTGGTGTCAACCATTGACTTGTTGGACATCGATATCGGCGACCTTGTTCCTCGAACTAGAGTCATATCAAGTCACGACTCCAGCAACTTCCCGCACACTATGTCCGGATTGAGAAGTCGCCTTGGCGGCTAAGCATGGATTATCGGCATCGCGAGTTGTCAGTACGTATTGCGCGATACCCTTATTCCCAATGAGGAGTCCATGTCTGGCAAAGAATACCACAACGTTAATCATCCCGAAACTTACGATGCTACTGAACCAAATGACTCGAATTATTTTTCAACTTTTACCGTTCATGAATGTCACTCAGCTCAGAAGGAGGACCGGGGGTACAAGGCGGGCTCGTTTGCATTTTGCCGGCTTCTGTCAGTTGCTACCCCGTCGGTCAAGACATTCTCTGTTGCTCTGCTAACGACTTTAAAGAACGGAACAACTCAGCAAATGCCAAGAGTTCAAGTTTCCTGGATATTCCGTAATTCACATTTTCACGGAACAACTCATAGTGTACTCTACTCTTGCATGAAAGCGGGTAGTTGTATACTCACTCAGGGATTTCTTGGTCACCTCTCCGATTCCATAAATGACGCCCGCATGCTTGGCAGGAGAAGAGGAGGATTTTCCCATTGATATGGCAATACATGGGCATGTTGGGGTCTTTTTCCTATGCACGGGGCTTCATATGGTCAAGGTAGGGTCTCACAGCAGCGGTGGATACAATACAAGGCCAGGTTGCGAAACGCTCTGGCACTTTATTCACGCACACGATTCTAGAATGTATCAAAACAATTTCGGTCGGGACTAATACTGAGGCAGGTTTTCCCACGGCTCGTGCGGCTAGACAATGCGGTGTGAGTTGGCCCTGGGCGACTGAAGTCGACGCCTCCGGGCGTCACGATGGCTCAACATGAAATGTTGTTATTACTAGTTGTTACACCTGAGCTGTCATGTTACCCCACAAGATGACACTTTCAGCTACCAATGGCGGTTGCATATGGAAGGCAGTTGTTTGTTCCCAAATGCCTGGGTATTGTCATCGCCGAAAGCCACCTGCATTGCAGAATCGGGCGGTGGTGTGACGGGTCACCGCTGTTGTCGGTTGTCAACTTGCACGCCTTTGAGTTACATAATATGACAACAAATCCGCTTCAGGCGCTTTGACACTGTCCTCGCCACAGGTGAGTGAATAAAGAGAGAAGAGACCATGTGAATGGCAGGCACAGACCATGTTCATGTTGGCTGACCATGGCGGCCCAAAGACTCAGCTGCTGCAGGAAACCCACGATGGTTGCCACCATGACGAGCGTATTGCATGCCAGATCCCCCTCCCTTACTTCCAGTTGACAACTCGTCAACTCTCCAAAAGGCAAAATACATGGAAAGGTCCACAATGTGGACACGGACACACAAGATCGTGCTACACTTCCGCATTTGCTGCATCATGGCAGCCAGATCTGCTGGGGCAAGCCAGCCTGGCGGCGGCGGCGGCGGCGGCAACCCGTCGTTGGCAATGTTTCTCGGGGAATGCGCCACTTGTCTCCTGGACGTGAGGTTTCCATCCCAGACGCCAATGGGTCTTGGGAGAGGAACAAGAAAAAGAAACGCTGCGTCACCTCCGTGGCTACAAGAGTGAACCCGACAGACTGGAACCCCGTTGGTTAACTTGGTTCTTGTTCTTATTCACACACACACACACACAACAGGGCATCATGTGGCCCCGTGGGTTGAACAGAACATGGCTTTTCGGGGTCAACCCTGTGAATAGTAGTAATGGCCAGGCCAGGATAAAAGGAGCCTAGGTTGCACAGGACTTGGCCTGGAGTTTGACTCTCCTTCTTTTTTTGCTTTAATTTCTACTCCTCTGGGGCCACAATCTTTCGGATATCTCGCCAAATAAAAAAAGTACCGTTGACTATCGGTTTCCCATCCCCCCCCCCTTGGACACGATATTTATTCCAGTCTTCTGCCCTTGCTGCCCCGTGGCACCCCTGTCTTGAACCACAACCAACGTACCACCTTCTCATGAGGAGTATGGGGAACTCACTTAGTAGACCGGAAGGCAAGCCTTCGGTTGACAGGCTGACGACAATCTCGAGGGGCATTCAGGAGAATACCCAGATCCTCACGGACAGGCTGCACACCCAGGGGCTTAGTGCACCCTCGTATGAGGCACATGGTCTTGCAGACTTTCCGCTGAAAGAGTCCGACGATGAGACATTGAGGGCCAGGCAGCAGATTTTGTCCCTGACCAAGGAACTTCGAGACTTGGTGCTAGGACCGCGGGAAGCGCTGAAGCTGATGGCCTTGGATGTAAGCGGATACACTCGAAGAGCGCCATGAAAGAGTACAAATGCTGAGGGGAGAAACACCAAACAAATACTAGGTTGTCAATTATATCCCTCTGCACGCAATCTACACTTTCAAGATTGCAGAGGCAGTGCCTCAACAAGGATGCATCTCATACGACAGCCTGACGAGGGAAGTCCAGCGCGTCTCGGGCTTCAAAATCCCTGCCTCTGAGCTTCGCAGGCTCCTCCGTCTCGCCATGGCCAACAATCTCTTTTGCGAGCCGGAGCTTGACCACGTCGCCCATAATCGCACCTCACTCGTCATGCTGGAGGACGAAAGCCTAGCTAGCTGGGTTGGATTGTACACGGTCGACCTGTTTCTTCCCGTTGGCAACACAGTGGCAGCTATGCAGAAGTGGCCTGGTTCTCAGGACCTCACAGAGACGGTATGTGTACTCCTTTTTTTTTTTTTGTGCGTCATCCGGTACCTCTTTTTCCCCTTGATTCATTCAATACGTATAGCAAAGGAGGGAGAGAGAGAGAGAGAGAGAATGGAGAAACTAACTTCTTGATTCTTCCTCCTTCCCTCCCCCAAAATAGGCCATCAATATCTCGTACGGCCATAGCAACACCTTCTTCAACCACGTCCAAACCGACACAACCCGGGCCAAAAGGTACGATCTCGCCATGCGAGCCCACGGCTCCCGTGAAGGGTTCGACGTGTCACACACAGTCCACAGCTACCCCTGGGCAAAGCTGGGCAACGCCACTGTCGTAGATGTAAGGTCCACCTCCACCACCGCAGCAGCGGCGGCAGAAGATTTGTTGAGGTTGTACAAGCCCGTGGCTAATTCGCGACTGTGTTTTCCTCGTTGCCCGTCAAAAGATGGGCGGTAACGAGGGATACGTATCCATGGCCATCGCCGAATCCTTCCCCAACCTCAGCTTCGAAGTCCAGGACCTCCCTGGCATGCGGACCGACGCAACCGTCGGCAGAGTGCCGCCCCATCTGGTCGGCCGCGTGAAGCTCACGACGCACGATTTCTTCCTCGAGCAGCCCACCGTTGCGGGCGCGTACCTGTTCCGGCACATCTTCCACGCGTTCCCGGATAGACACGTTGTGCGGGCTCTGAGGGCGCTCGTCCCCGCCATGAGGCACGGCTCGCGCGTCATTCTCAACGACGTGGTTCTGCCGGCCCCGGGCGCCGTCTCGCTGGCCGAGGAGAAGACGTTCCGCCTTCTCGACGTCCTGATGAAGACTGTCTGCAATGGTCGGGAGAGGGAAATCAGCGACTGGAAGGTCTTGTTCGAGGAGGCCGACGCCAGGTTCGTCTGGCAGGGGGCGTGGAAGTCGAGCGGAAACCTGTGGTTTGTGGAAGCTCAGTGGCAGGAGAGGCCAAGCATGAATGGGGGCGAATCTCGCATTTGCTAGAGGACAAGGGCCAAAGCTCGTGAGCCCGCCCGGGGGGGGAGGGGAGGGCGACTAATACGGTGTTGCAAAGTTGATTTTGTATTTTGATCGTCTGGTCAAGAATTCGCGAAGCCAGTTCTACATCTATTCAGGCCAAATCTGGCGCCCCAAGTTCTGTCATCAGCGGGATTTAGTGTCTCCCCCCAAGCACCTCTGCTGCGCACACGTCAGATCTTCTCCTGCGGCCTTGTCCTCTCCTTGATATTCCTTGCAAAGTCTACCGCCATGCAAACATGATGGCTCAGCGCGACCAAATCGCCGCTCGTGTCAAACACAATAATCTCCATGTCGGACCTCCCGTTGCTGATGGCCTTGCTGGACGCCCTCATGCGCAACCACTCCTCGCCCCCGGCGGGCAGCTTCTTCTTCACCTCGATGGCCATGGTGACGGTCGGGTACCAGTACGCCTGGTCAAAGGCAATCTCCCCTTCCTTCGGGGGCTGGCTCCCGTCCCGCTGGCGGTACGCCTCGGGGATGAGGGCGGCCGCGGCATCTGCCACGAACCCCAGGGAAATGTTGGTGAAGGGCTCTCCGTTTGCGCAGCGCAGCCAATAGTCGTGCGTGGAAGGGGTGGCATGGCCGGCTCTCTGGAAGTAGTACTCGAGCGTCCTGATACTAGACACACGCCCCATGAGCGGGATATGTAGGCGCTTCCATTTGGGATCGCTGCCCTCTCGCATGCGCGTCAGGTCCGCGGGCGCAGGCTCATACGGCATGATCCAGGCGGTGTTCAGGGTGAGCCCTTGCTCCTTGTCGAGGTCCGTGTTGGTGACGTAGGCGACTACTTCGCCCTTGGCTCTGGATGCCGGGTCCAGCCAGGGACGCGATTCCAGCAGGCCGTGCTGGTGCAGGGAGATGTGTAGCACGGAGCTGTTGCGGCCCATCTTGGCTTCTTCGACCACGAGGTACGCCTGGCCGGCCGCGGTGCGGTTGAGGTACTGGATGTGGATTTTGAGCGTGTCCGGCTGGCCCTGGGGGGTGAGATATTCCTGGGCTGCTCTGAGAATGACGGAGCCAACGTAGCCGCCGTTGGGGACTGAGATGCCGCCGCGTTAGTTTGACTTGATGCGAGGAGGGGCCTGTGACGGAAACCCACCAGAGCCGATGCACAGCTCCTCTGATAAATCGGCCGAGAAAATCTGGTCGGAGAGTCTGGTGACTTGGGTGTGCTGTTCGAGCGACGGCGGGATGAAATCATCCTCATCCTGGGCCTGACTCGGACCCCACGCTGCGTTTTTGGACATGGCGCAGTCTTTTCAATCTCAACAATGTCTAGAGTTGAAGGTGGACTTTGGGGGGGACGTGTCTGTCGCGGTGGTTTAAAGGGCGGAGATGAAATACATTAGAGGTTGAGATGATGAGATCCGGCTTAGAGCGCTTTCACAAGCCGAGGTCCCCCCGTCGTCTCCGGGCCGGATCACGGGCTCCGTCCCCGGGCTATCTTCGCGCCGCGCCGCCGCGCGCTATTTCCAGGAAGGGCAATTCGGATGTCACGCACCAGACTGACTGCCTTGTCAGCCGCATCGTCATGGCACCCATTTCTTGCACCATGGCCGTGTAAATGCAACCGTCCCGTGATTAGAAATTCATCATAATAAGCCCATTCCTACGTCTTGGTCGTTCAAAACGGCAATCGAAGTCGAAGATGAGCTACAAACTCCAGTACAGCGGTAGGCAGTCGGAAAGGGAAGTTGGCCCGCTCTACCGATCAGGCTCATCATTCTCCTCATGCTTGAAGGCAGGTCACGTAACCTTTTCAGGAGGGTGGATTTTCTTACTAGTCTTCGACTCTTCGGGTTGCTCGGAGCGCAAACAAATGCAAGATGCAGCGTTGCATTCATCAGATCTGTCGCCGCATCCGGCAAGCCGTGGGTCCAGAATCCAGACGCCAGAGGGAGAGGTGATGATGGACGGTGACTTCATCACGATTTACTTCTAGAGGCAGGGCGGCAGTGGAGATTGGGCATGGCCAACACCCAGGCATGATCTCATGCTAATCAATCATTTTGACTACTAAACGCCGACCTATCCCACTTGAACCTTGACTCGATTGGTCCCGTCTATAGCTGCCTTGTAACATAAAAAAGAGGAGGGCGAAAAAAAAAGGGGGGGGGGGCACCAAATGCAAAAATATCTTATTTCCAGTGCATTACAGTCGTGCAAAGACCTTGCCAAAAATCTCTCTTGCCTTTAACAAATTAACCACGCTTATGCGCTCATTGTCTAAGTGAGCGGAGTCACTAGCACGGCCGCAGGGTAAATGTGCTGCGGGTGCGCCGAATTCCTTTTCCAAGAATCGAATGGCCGGGATAGAACCACCTTCGCGAATATAGAGTGGCTGCCGTGGCTTTGATGACTTCGCTACCGAGGAGGCCTGCACATTTCCACTGGGAGAATCGCTCCGGTCAAAGCAATCTGGCCATGCTTCAATGATGGCTTGTCCCAGCGTGCGGAATATCTCGTTGGTAGGGTCTCCCAGCCATGGTTCGGCCTTGTTATCAATATTAATGCTGAGTCGGTTCTGAGACTCGAGGAGCCCAAACTCGCGACGCAGGAACCAGGACATCGCCTTGGAAACGTCTTCAACTTCTTGTCCAGGCACCAATCGTAGGCTGATGTGCGAGCTAGCATGGCTACTCACGAGACTTCCATCAGGCCCAGATACTTTATATCGGTGGATGGTGAGGTTGGGCTCCCGCCATCTTGCCATGAGCGACTGTTTGAGCTTTTCTTCAGACACAGCCTGCGATTGATGGCGTACCATGATGGAGGCAATGTCGTCATATCGCGCTTCCTCTTCAGGTGTAATAGGTGGAATGCCATCGTAGAATCCTGGAATTTGAATTCTATTTCCAGGACCTTTCAGTTTGGATAGAATACAAGTTAGATCCGTCAGCGGTTCATCGGATAGATGAGATCCATCCACTCCAGAATGAATGTCAGGCCGAGGAGAGTCAACGCAAATGGTGGCATGAAGCACACCACGAAGCCCATACGTCAAGCATGGGACTTCATCGTTGAGCCAATAGCTATTGGCCAGCAGGATATAGTCCACATGACCAATAAGCTCCTTATTCCGTTGTACAGCTTCTTCGAAACCTCGAGAACCAAATTCCTCTTCGCCTTCAATCAGAAAGATGACATCGTTTTCTAGCCGCTGTGCCTGCATAAGATCTGTCACTGCATACAATGCCGCAATAATGGGCCCTTTGTTGTCACTCACTCCACGGCCGTAAAGGAAGCCGTTGGTCCCGGTGGCGGTGAATGGGTTCGTGGTCCACTTGCCTTTCCTACCATCGGCTGGCACCACATCGTAATGCCCGTAGAACAGTATGCGTTTTCGCTGTTCCAAGGCCTCCTTCTTTCCCGAGAACTTGGCATAAACAACCGGGTTGTGGGCCTTTTCGGTGCTGAGCATTTCGACGTGGCCACCTAGGCGTTTGAAGAGTGACCCTAGAAAAGTAGCGCCTCGGCGACAATCCTCGGCGTATTCAGATCGAGATGACACAGTTTTGTAAGAGACGAAATCACTCAGTGTCGATAGGAGCAGGTCGTTGCTCTTCTCTGTAAGATTCGGTTTCAAAGACGTCAAGTCCTTGACGGACCATATTGCAATGTCGTTGTCATTCGCGCCGGTAATGTAATACGGCTCCGACTTATGCGTGGTAATTGCAGAAGCTAGGATCTTGCCCTGGTGCGCTTTCCACTTTCCAAGACACTGGTACTTTTGACTGACATGTCCGGATGATACATGGCCATGAGCACAGTAATGCGCTGTGCTGTATTTCTGTGCCGCTGTTAGAAACACTACCTTAGCCCCGAGATAAATGATGCCACTTACACTAGCCCATCCATTGGTTGAACCAGCCCAGAGGCACCCCCATCCCATTTGCAGTGACATGACGTCTCCTCCAGGGGCTTTAATCACCCTTAGCCTCTGAGTTGTGTCTAAATCCCATAGCTCTACTATGCCATCGAGCTTTCCAGCATATAGGAATGAGCCATCAAGGGCAATTGATAGAACTGACTCCGCATCATCAGCGCCTAACGTCATAATTTCCTCGATGCCGCCGTCATCGCCGTCAGCATGACCACGGCCGTTTCTACTTGACCCAGTCAAGCTCCAGAGCTTGATGGTACCATCGCCACCGCCCGAAATAAGAACATCATCATCTGCATCCACTTCAACTGTTGGGCCCTGTGCCATCAGCATGCAGTATACGTAGCCATTGTGCGCAAAGTGACGAATGCATCCGCTGTCAATCTCGAGAACAGACTGCGCTCGGGGTATGAGAGCCCATCGATCTTCGCTTCTTCTCGGTGTAGCCCCACCTCCAACAGCCTTTGAGTCGAAGAATCGATGACTTCTTCGATCCGGATGATTTTGTGAGTCCGGGGATGCACTTTTAGAATCATCACCAAGTCGCACCCATTGTATGGTCGTATTCTGGGCTCCAATATACAGTGTGTCGTGCTGTGCGCTGTAAGCAGTGCAGAAAATATCGCCAACATCGTGGAAGCCGTAGATCTCGTAAAGACGACGCAGGGTCTTGGGACACCAGACGTTTATGACGGCATCACCAGCGCTGGAGAAAAGGAGCGACGAATCGGGAGAAAGAAACAGCGACAGAATACATCTCTTATGCGCTTGGACTTGGCGAAGCTGATGGAACGTGTCCAGAGACCATACAACAATTTCACCATCTTGAGTGCCTGCGTATATGGAGTCGTGCTTCGCGCTGACGGCGACGGCGAGGACTGTGCTGTTATGTTCGAGACTATGCATAAGCTTGGGGGTCGCTTTCGTGGCTTCGGGTGTCTCCAGAGCGTTCGCAACTGAGGACGAGAGAGATTCCTGTGTCCCATTAGAGGCCATGGTTGCTAGATGCCGTGGCACAGCTCTTTGGTTAGCTTGGTCGTGACGGAGGTGGTCGGGGCTTTGATCGCATCACAAAGCTTCTGTCCGGCGACAGCTTCCCCCCGAGCCCAGTTAAAATAAATGAGTAAGATACAGGGCAGACAGTGTTCAAGTTCCTATGCGACGGGCTGTCTGAGGAAGTTGGTTGAAGAGAGACCACGACTAAAAGGTGAGGGAAGGGAAATGAAGGGTATGTGAAGTCAATCAGTGACTCTTCCAAGTTGCGATGGCGTCAATTCAATGGCGTGGCATTGGCCCACCCCACAGGGTGCGAAGTCGGCGGGGCAGGGAGCTCCTGCCAGATGTCCATCTTTTTGACAGCTCTTGACCCCTGTCTCCGCTATCCGGCACCGGTTGAACTTAGCCGCAGCCTGAGGAAGGAGCCGCCCACTGACTCTTACAGGGGGCGGGGCGGGCGAGTCCACGCCTGAACCTCGATTTCGACATGCACCAGACATGTCAATGGCCCCAGTTGCTTGCGACTCTAAACCACACCGCTCCTTTCTCCGGTGATACTGGAACCTGACATGGAGAACTTCTGAATAGACTCACCGAACACATTGCCAGGCAAATGTTTCCCATCCACAGCTACAACCGTCTGCTGTTCTCGGCCTCTTGCTTCTTCAAATCGAATTCTGTCACAACCGCGACAGCCTCCACCTGACGCCCAGGCTGGCTCGGATTCGGGTGTCGTTTTGGCGGCCGTCATCTCGCCGTCTCTTGATGATTTCCAATGAAGATTTCGGATCAAAGAAAATTTAAGGTCTACCATTTCCTTGGGAACGGGAGATTCGGCAGTCTGTCTTTATGTACATGACTGAAGCACACATCTCGGGCCAGGTCATGGTCTTTGCGGGTCAGAATGTCTATGATTCTGCTCTGATCTTTGTGGTCAGTGAAATGCCAGTGGCTGAAAACGCGCTGGGTTTGACTTGATGCCCTTATCCTTGTCGTTCCGCCTCAGCGTCTGCTTAGTCAGGGACTTTACATGCTCATGTTCTATCAATGGCTACAGAAGTGATGTAAGTTAATGCAAACACTACACAAAACGGAAGCAAACGCTGCCCAATGTGCTTTCCTCCCTGCCTCACTGCGTTCCCGTGTTTTCTGAACAATTTCCTCGCAGGTTCGTTGCTCACAGAGTACGTCTTGACCATTGACATGCTACAGGTCCTAACAATAGTTTAGAATTTACTATGCTACACTTCTTGGCCACGTGTGTGTCTTACTAGTTGGTATGAAAATTTCAGAATGTTTATCATTATTCATGTATACATGGATCGGTCAACTTCTGCAGGCTGGATGTGACCACCCTCCTATATCGCACCTCCGAAAGTTGGGTCGCCCTACCTATCGACCCTACAATTAGTCCAAAAGAATGTCGAAGCTGAACTCATTATCAGTTTTCAACGAATACCGCGGCAGAGTCCATGGGCCGCACGAGCCAGTACCCAACCCATGGTGTGCCCAATCAAGCCTTACAACCGTGTCGTCGCGTTTCCGCTTGTGCAGCTCATACGGATGCGTGCAGTCGTCAATATCCTTTGTTGAGTAATGCATGGCTGAAAAGCTTGCACCATCTAAATCGCCAAAATTAGCCCTCAGAAAGCGACCCATGGACCCGAGAATCTCGACCCAACGAACGTCGGTCCTGTTCCCGCCGTCCTGGGGAAACTCGTAATCAACCCACAGATCGTCAACAGTCGACTCCCAATTTCCGAATAATTGGGAGTATTTTTTATCTCGATATGACTCGCCAGGGCCGCGGCCCCACCATTTCACCCGCTCTGCCCCGTCAAGGCCAAGGGTGATACCGATCCGCGCAAATGTCGATGGCAGACCCAATCCTTGCGGCTTTCCTTTGACATTGATGGCGAGCGACTCGCCTCGGAAGTGATACGTCCATGTGGTGTCAACCGCCCACAGAAGAGCAGGAGGGGCGATCCTCTGCTTTATTTCCACCGTAATGCCATCTTGAACTTCGCGGAATTGAACCTGCTTCACATGTGTAGAAGTTTGATGCAGTCTCTTGTCTGTCCACTCTCGCCCATGGCCGCCGCGATCGTTGTCCGTCAGAGCACGATAAAAGTCCATGGTAATGGGCTGGCTGATTATTTCAGAAGTGGGATTGTCTCTACGTTTCCAACTTACAAGGGTGCCTGTCACTGTGTCTATAGCCCATGTCGAGCGCCCGGACGCCGAGGAAATCTTCACAAGCGAGTCTGACGCCATTTGCAAGGTTGATTTCGGCATCGGCGGCTCAATAGATTGAATAGCATTGACGGACAGCGGTCGCGACACTCGAAGCTGTCCGGTGGCAACTTGGTGATGAGCAGGTGCCCAATTTGTCCCGTGTTTCATTTGAAACCTGAGTTGCAAATACGCTTCGCCATGCACTTCTTTCAACATCCCGTGGTGAAACCCCTCGGCCGTCACAACAGCTTCCGTATGTGGTCTTATACCTATGATGCGACCTGTGCATTAGCATTGCGTTTGAAGTGATAGGCTCTGTTTTTCTCTCCCTCTATTCCTTTTGCTCTTTTTATCTTCCAAGAAAAAAAGGTACTCCTTACCTGTAGGTATTTTGACTCGGCCACCTGCAAATTCTTTACCATCAGAAACGATAGACCAAGTTGCAAACAGATGATCTAGCGCTAGAAAGTCGTAACGATTCGCAACGGCAATGTTGCGATGATGCAGAGACAGTGTTTGAACCGGCTCGATCGACTTGGCATACTCGGTAATATTGGAGCTCACCGTATGCTCAGAGTACAACAAACCGTCCATGACAAAGTTGTAATCGTTGGGTTCGTCCCCAAAGTCACCACCGTACGCCATAAACTCCTCCCCATCTTTAGTCTTGGTTCGAAGGCCCTGCTAAGTATTAGCAATGCCAACTTTCAAAATACAACGGCCGTGGATGAGTCCTTACATGATTAGCCCATTCCCATACAAAGCCACCCATCAGCCTTGGGTGCTTGTAGAACAAATCAATATACTCCTTGGCATTGCCCTCCGAGTTGCCCATGGAATGCAGAAATTCGCACAGCACTAGTGGTTTCTTCCAGTCGCGCTCTTTGGCAACTGACTCGACATAGTCGAGATCCGGATACATGCGACTATATATGTCCGCCGTCTGCGCGTTCCAATCACCCTCATAATGGACCAGCCGCGTATTATCCATGGACTTGATAACCTCGTACATGGCCTGGTGATTTCGTCCATAGAATGATTCGTTCCCAAGCGACCACATGATGACGCACGCGTGGTTTTTATCTCGGGCAACCATCTGTCGTGCTCGGTCGACATACTGCTCTTTCCAAGCAGGATTATCAGAAGTGTAGCTCGCCGCGTCGCCGCCCACCGCCCCGAAACCATGACACTCCAAATCCGCTTCGTCGAGAATCCAGAGGCCCAGTTCGTCGGCCACGTCGTACAAACGCGGGTCGTTTATCTGGTGGGATGTGCGAATGGCATTAATGTTGTGCTTCTTCATGATGAGCAGGTCCTTACGCATAAAGTCGTACGGCACTGCACGACCATGGTCCGGGTGGTGCTCGTGCCGGTTGACGCCTCGGAACTTGACGGGATTTCCGTTGATGCAGAATACCCCGTCTATCAAGCCCGTCTTTCGAAATCCGACGCGCTGAACCAGACTGCACTTGGTACCGTCAAGAAAGTTGAGCACCAGGGTGTATAGGTACGGCGTCTCCGCGGTCCATTTGTGCGGGTTTTCAACGTCAAGTCTGAACTCGTCCGAGCTGGACACCTTGATCGTATTCGCGAGAACTTGCTCGTCCGCCGTAGCATCAAGGAGCTTCAGTTCGACGGCACAAGGCGCGCTAACGTCGACTTTAACGCGCAGAGTTGCATTCTCGAATCTGTCGTCCAAGTCTGTTACGACGTGGAAGTCGACAGGGTGCACTTTGGGAAAGGCATGGAGGTAAACGTCTCTGAAAATACCACTGAGCCACCACTCGTCCTGGTCCTCAATGTAGCTCCCGTCGCAGCGCTGGTACACTTCCACGGCCAGGCGATTCTCTCCACCAACTTGAATATGCTCCGTCACGTCGAATTCACTGGGGTTCCGAGAGCCCTGCGAATATCCAACTTCCTTCCCATTAACCCATACCGTGAATGAGGAATCTACCCCTTCGAATCGCAGCCGTACCTGGTGATTCGCAAACGACCCATCAACCTCGAACGAGGTCACGTACCGACCACACTCGTTCTCCTGGTACGAAACATTGGGCGGATCTACCGGCCACGGATACAGGATATTGGTGTAGTGCGGACCCCTTCCGAATTCTTGGAGCTGCCACATTCCGGGGACAACTATGTCCTTGAAAGAGGCATCCTGGAAGTTAGGCTTGTAAAAGTCCCGCGGCCCGTCGAATGGTGACTTGGACCAGTGGAACTTCCATTTCCCAGAGAGACATTGCGCTTTGGCTTTGCTGACGTCCTGCGTGAGCGCGGCTGCTTCGGTGTCGTAGAGGTAGAAGTTGCTTCGGGGTGGGAGAGTGTTGCGATGGACGACGTCGACATTGCTCCAGTCCGGGAGGGAGCTTGGATGAGATGGCGGAAGTGGCATGTCTACTGTGAAGAATTGGATATGACCAAGAGCCACTGAGGGTTTTGTAAACTGGGGCTGGCAGGGGATTTGGGGTGCAGATGGAACGGCAGCTGTTCGTGAGACAGACTGGCTATTAATTCATGGGCGAGTACACAGTGCCAGCTGGTGCAAGTTGTTACAATGGCGAAATATCTCGCGTGACGTGGATTCAAGACAGGATGACAAGGTCACGCTCCCGGGAGGAGAGATGAGAATAGATTACAGGAAAGGTAGCGTCGACATGAAGATGGCTCGAGTTGCAAGCTCGATGAGGAGGTTGAGGGGTAGCTTTAAGGATGGAGGGTCATGGTACGACTTGATTGGAACACACGCGGCCAAGCTTCGAGATTGGGCCAAGTCCACATGATTCATCAGTTCCCAGCTACAGCTCGGGATGAAACACGACTTCTTTTCATCGCTGTGCTTTGTACACCTCACCAATTTGATGTCGGGTTGCATCTCGGCTCGCTCATTCGCATCCCTTGGGGATACCACGAGACAGCTTTCGCAGCTTGACAGCATTGCACGCGTACGCAGGTGCATTGGGCGAACACGAGCACAACTCTTGTGAATATCCCAAATTGTCTACTAACAACGAATTCGTCCCAGTGATCCATGATGTGCACTTACACGCGTGTCATAGGCTTCAATCGGAGTCATCAGCCTACCAGCTCCGCCGTGGGACAGCAAGGATGCGCCCAGCATCGACAGCCTCCATCGGCACAGAGACGCCAAGTACAGCTCCCATCATGAAAGCAACGGTCATCCAAGCTCCAGAATGGCCCGATCACATGGTCAAGCCTCTCATATTCCTCGCCGGAACCACCACGCCAACGGCAGACGGCGACTGGCGTCAAAGACTCGTCAACCGTCTCTCTCAATACCCCGTCACGTTCCTCGACCCGACAAACAAGAATTGGGACTCAACCTGGACAGAAGACTTCTCCGACACCCGCTGGACAAGGCAAATCAGATGGGAGCTGGACCTCCAGGAGCAAGCCGACATCGTCGTGGTCTTCTTTCATGAGAGCACTCTGGCGCCAGTCAGCCTGCTGGAGTTGGGCATGCATGCCCGGTCGGGAAAGGCTATAGCGTGCGCAATGCCGGGCTATGCGAAACGCGGAAACGTTCAGGCCGCCTGCGGCATGTATGATGGTGAATTTGTGACCAGCGAGGAGGAGTTGGCTCAGGCGGTTGAAAGCAGGTTGAGGGACCGGTTCAAGCTTGGCAATATTGAAGCCACTGCCGGGCTTAGGGGTGATTGATTGATGAAGGTTTCCTCAAGACATCATACCTATAGTAGACAAGATACTTCCCAGTGTTTCCGCCAACATGACAAGAATGCGGCATCTCTGCACCAGCTGGGACCGTTGATCATGGTGGGCTTTGTTGGACGCACGCCGGCATTGACTACTATCTTGTGCATGGTCCTGGGAGCCAAGGGTAAGGATTGTAAGGAGGATAACTGAGGCTCATAGCCCCGGACATCGACACGGAGTACAGGGTACCTTATCCATGGGCCGACGACTTCCAGCATCTGAGTTACCGTCCATCGCACAACAAAGGCGGCCTGTATACCCAGTCCTTTGGTCAAGTTCCATGGGCACGAAATTGGTGGAGTTCTAGACTGAGCGCTTTCCACACTAACGCGTTTTCTTCTTATCCACAAGACTTTGCTCGAGAGTCAAGACACGTTTTGTGGCCCGCCAACTTCCAACTTGGAATTACCCTGTGGTCAATGCTGCCTTTGGCGGATTCAGTGACAAGACACGCCACCCTGTGATAGAGCCTGAGATTTAGAAACACAGGTGAAGGAGGCAACCTTCTGAAAAGACGGAGAGATATTTCAGCGTCGTATAATTGAGCAGACGCAATGCACATTCAGACAAAAGTGCAGATGTGAATGTTGCGCCCGATAGCCAAGATTAACAAGGAGATTCCGTTGTCCATGGGTGACGATGATGTGGCCTGCGACTTGTTCGACTCGTGCGGGGACCCAATAAGCTAATCGATATGTTGTATGTATGTATGTACGTACCAGTGACTGGACCCTTCTCACCACTTGCAATGTTGGGCATTTTTGACCATTCAAACTTGACATGTCGATTGGACTTGACCCCACATGCACACTCTGCCACTTTTCTGCCACACTTCTGAGCCTTCTCCCACTACGACTTGACCGGGGTAGCAACAACACCAACTTCAACCAGTGCGCAGCCTCCAGTTCTCCCATTGTTCATCTTCCCTGTTGCGGGATACCTTGCACTGTACTCTGTATTGATACCAATTGCTCATCTGACACTGCAAGTTCGCTCTAGCTTTTTTACAATGGAGGACCAGTTCGGCGGCCGAACCGATGATGACCTCTTCTACGATGACTTCGAGCCCGTCGACAGCGAGCCCATCGTGGTCCAGGAAGAAGCGCCGTATATTCAGGAACCATCGCCTGTTGCTCCTGTTGCTCCTGCTGCGCCTGTAGCTCCAGAGCCTGCACAAGCAAGACAATCCAAGCCCAGGAAGTCGTCGCCACCCGCTCAAGCCCCGAACAGCAATGCGCCGTCCCCGTCGCCGTCACCATCGTCGTCGCAGCCGCCGCAGTCACAGTCACAGTCACAGACCCAGCCCCAGTCCAAGGGCGGCAATCTCTCCTCATCACGCTTCGCTCGCAAGGGAAACTTCAATATGAGGCAGCAGTCTACGCCGCCGCCGCCACCACCACCAGCAACTAAATCGCCTGCGCCACCCAAGGAATCTAAAGAAAAGGAACATGGCCAGGAAAGAGAAAAGGATACCAAAGGCGACAAGGAAAAGGACGGCACCCCACCACCCAATGCGCCCACAGCTCCTGCAAAGGATAAGAAACCTCAAGCCCCCTCACAGAATACAGCTGCGAATGCGGAGGCACGACTTCAATCCGGCGCCAACCCGCGTCAGAAACTTACCGAGGAGGAACTTGCCGCCAAGATGGAAAAGATGAAACTGCTGTCAGCAGAGAAGACGCGTCAGTTTGAGAGAGCTGAAAAGGACGAACAACAGCATGCTCAGGCGTATGCCAAGGGCATGGAAGAAGCCCGCAAGCGGAGAGCAGAAGAAGCGGAACGAAGACGCCGGGGAGAAGAGGAGAAGCGCAAGCTCGATGATGAACGTGCAAAGAACCGTGAGCGCAAGCTCAAAGCCATGGGTATGAAAGAAGGTGGCTGGGACGAGGGCAAGGAGGCCATTCTGGAGGAAGAAGCCAGAAGGGGCTTCAAGGGAGCAAACGGTGGTATTAGAGGCACCAAGCGTGGCGGCCTCGGAGGCAGTCGATATTCTCGAGAAGTAGACGATCAACCCGACGTGGACCGCTTCCTGGATGACCAGCAGCGCAGCAGGGGAAGGGGACGTGGTGGTGGTGGACGTGGAGGTGGTCGCGGACGAGGCAGTGGTCGAGGAGGGTTTGATGGCTCATTGCCGAAACCAAATGACAGCAGTGCACCCGCGCCTTCTCTCAACGTGGAAGATTTCCCAGCACTGCCCTCAGATGGAACCAGGAAGCCAACTGGACCGATTGCGCCGGTCGCATACCCACGGAAAGCCGCACCAGCCCCTATCCCGGCCTTGCCATCACCATCTCCTGCCGGCGGCAAATGGGACGATGAGATGGAGGCCCTGGATGAGCTTAAGCAGCAAGGGGAGTCATAGCTGTTGTGGGACAGAGATTACAGGCACAATAGAATGAGTGGGCGGGTATTATGGGACACGGGTAAAAGTGTCATGACAGATGTATGATTTGGATACCTACCTCTATGCTGGGAGAGCAAAAGAACAAAGAATGAGTGATGAGCGGGAGCAATTGGATACATGTAATCAGAAGCGGCAAAACACAACGTTAATATGTGAATCTCTTGTGAGACAAGCCCAAATGTAGTTGGCATATCAAGCCGCAACTCTTTCATCACTTCTTCAGGGCCGACACGCACAGGGTTAAGTTGGTCCAAGTACAATGAATCTCCTATATCGAAGGGTATTTTCCTCCCTGAATGCATATTCTTCAGGTAACGCCAGAGTTGATATGCGACTCGCCCATAAAACCAGCAAAATGATCTTACTCCGTAAGCATAACAAATGGTAACAAAACCCGCCTCTTAACGCCAAACACCCTGGTCTGTCACAAGACTGCTCACAGACCAAAAGACGATCCCCCATGGCAGTCGCATACCTTTACCACCGTCTGCCTCCCCTTCCGCTCCTATAACCTCCAGCCCTCGGGCCCCTTGGTCCTCCCATCCCCCCTCCAGGACCATCATCCCCATCCATCATCCCCTGTCTCTGCCTACTCTTCAGCTCCCTCGGGAACGCATCGTACGTCTTCCGCATAGACGCATACCCCAGATGCATCTTGCCATAAAAGTGATCCGCTAGCCGGCGATCGTTATCTAATCTACTTAGATATGCGCCACAGACATCGCACACTTGGAGCTTCTGGTGGCCAGAAGGGCCAGACGTATCGGAAAGCGCCTTGAGCTCCTTTTCCTTTTCGACTTTTAGCTGCATGGTCTGCTTGATGCGGAAATTCTCGTCGACGGCGCGGGAGACTTCGTTCATGGAAGCGAGGACTTCGACTTCCAGCTGGCCGTTGGCTATTGAGGCCGCAAGCTCGGAGATGGTTTTCAGCTATTGCCATGGGGGTTAGCATTGTGGCGCTCTCCACGCTTGCAACGCAGGTCAGGATGGAGGCATAATACCAAAACGTTTGTTTGTCGGATCTCATCAGGCGTCTTCTCGAGCCTCTTTTGCGCGGCGTCGATTCGTCGATTGCAATCGTCAATGTACTTTTGCAGGTCGCGCATGTAGTCGTAGTCGAATCCATATCTCTGCTTCTCCCGATCCGACAGGGCCTCGTACTCGACTTTCAACGGTTCAGAGTGCACTTTGGGACACTGGCCCAGGTCCTGCTTTGTGTTGGTGAAGAGGTCGTGCGGACAGGTGCCTACAAGATAGGACCGGCAGACTTTGGGATCTGTGAGGGAGAGTTGAGCGGCGCGCGAGGTGGACTGGTGGCCCATGAGCTGCTCGAGCAGCTTTCTTTGCTCGGCGGCCATGATTGCTGGATCCGCACCTGGTGGACTATTGTATACAGAAGTGCGAGGCGCGAGCTTGACCGACAGTGTTGATATGATGGTGTGGTCACTGGTGAGGCGGTGCTCTTTTCGGAGCTGCTTCAGTTGCTTCAAAGACTGGTGGAATGGATGCTCTGCCCCATCTCACCGCCTGCCAGGGATCCACGTTTCTGCCCAGACCAAATGTTCCGGCTGGTCAAGCCACGAGTCGATCTCGAGCCAAGGATTAAGCCATCAATAATGTCCAGTTGCTCCACGTCGCCTGTCGGCATCTCCAGCTTTCGAGTCGTGATGACTTCCTGACCGGGTTCCTCAACTCTTATAAACTTGGCGCGGTATACGCGACATGTCCATGTTACTGCAACCGCGCAGATAGTTCCATTCTTTGACTATCTGCCTTGATTTCTTTCTTTCCCCCCTTTTTTTATCTTGTTGTTCTCTTCTCCATTTAGCCACTTCGACCCAACCTCGCCTTCGTCGTTAAATAGATACATACGAGATTCGCGAGATGCGTCCCTGTCTGACGCCGTTATTGGCATCTCTTGTCCCCGGACTTGCCGCCGCCGCCGCCGCCGACTACCACGAGCTACTTACTCTGCGCCCATTGCCATTCTCCCAGCTTCTTGCAAGCTTTAATTTCAAATCAAATTCGTCCATAGCCGATTTTGAGGCGCACAACTTCCGATTGTTCCCCCGGTCACTCGGCCAGATTCTCGAGTACGCGGGCACACGAGAGCTCCATCTGCGGTTCACATTGGGACGGTGGGACGCGGAGACATGGGGGGCACGACCTTGGGACGGCACAAAGGAGGGCGGCACCGGTGTTGAGTTGTGGGCGTGGATGGATGCTGAAACCGATCAACAGGCAGATGAGAACTGGCTGACCTTGACGAATGCCCTTTCGGGGTTATTTTGCGCCAGTCTCAACTTCATTGATGGGACGAGGACTGTACGACCAGCTCTTTCATTTCAACCGGAGGGTCATCATTCGAGCGAGACGTTGGCCAAGACACGATTGTTACATGGCGTTCTGCCACATGAGGTGGTGTGTACGGAGAACCTGACGCCTTTTTTGAAGTTATTGCCATGTCATGGGAAGGCAGGCATTGCAAGTCTATTGGATGGTCACAAGTTGTTTGATTCGTCATTTCAGAGCATGGCCATCGACGTGAAGCCCATTTGTGACCAGAGTGGCGATTGTGTGCTACAGATGGAGCAGACGATTGATATGGTTATGGACGTCAACCGATCCAAGAGGCCGAGGGGTATGTCGCCGCAAGAACACGACACAACTCCTTACATTGACTAACCATGTACGCAGATAACCCTATCCCACGACCGCCTCCTACTCATGAACTAGTCTGCGACACCTCCAAGTCCTACCACGACGATGATCATTGCTTCCCAGCCGACCACCTCAACGGCCAAGACTGGACACTTTCTCAAATCTTTGGCCGCCCCATGAAAGGCACATGTCCTCTTGCCGACGCGCAGGTGCCTCCCGTGTGTCTCCAAGTCCCCGATTCACGAGTCGTCTACGCCTCGGAAGGCTCCGCCGAAATCAAGGATGAGAATGGCATGTCCAGATGCTACACAATCCCACCCCAAAGTGAATTCGCGCTTGTCCTCCCCAAATCCGAAGCCAAGACCCCCGAAGAAGCAGCAAAGGAACTCGTCGAACCTGTACAGCCCCTCCTCTACGCAGAACGCAGCTTCACTGGCCACGGCCAGGAACACGGCGGCGTCCAAGCCATCCTCACCAACCCCAACAATGTAGAAGTCGAATTCGTCTATCTTGAATCTCTCCCCTGGTTCATGCGCATCTACCTACACACCTTGTCAACCCGTATTTCATCCTCGGCTGCCCCGACGACCAATTCCTCGGAACTCATCAAGCAGATCCATTACCGCCCTGCGCTGGACCGCTCCCGCGGCACCCAGCTCGAACTGCTGATGCGCATCCCACCGAGATGCACTGTTTTCCTCACATATGACTTTGAAAAGGCCATCTTGCGCTATACAGAGTACCCGCCAGATGCCAATCGCGGCTTCGACGTCGCAGCGGCCGTGATTCGCACTCTCGAGCCCCAAGTTATGAATCTCCGTACCACGAGTTTACTCCTGTACCTGCCGACGCCGGACTTTAGCATGCCGTACAACGTGATTATCTTCACGTCGACGGCTATTGCACTTGCCTTTGGCGGGCTGTATAATATCCTTGTGAGGAGGTTAGTTGGCGCGGACGAGGTCGCGAGTCCCATGGCGAAGTGGAAGTTGAGGAATCTCTTGAGCAAGTTTCAGAAGAGAGGAATTGGCAGGCAATAAAATTATTGGGCGGCAGGCATAATATAATCTCTTCTTTTTCAGCACCCGGGATGGCATGATGAATTATATACGGTGTGATTTTTTGCACGTATACGTTGCACCTCGTGAGTGATGCTGAAGAGATTCATGACTTTACAGGACAAATGCATAGCTCGCCATGGCCGACGCATTGGGAGGAGCTGAAGTTGTTCAAGACGCTCATCCAGACATTACACCATGCCACGGCCTATACTATACGCGGGTCATATCGTCTCAGTCATATACATATATATATTGATGTTTATAAACTTCCAAAGTGGGAAAATATACAGATTCATAAATCTTCGTCGGACGCACTGGTCTTTTTTATCTGTTGAAAACTCACGCGGCCCGCCGCCCTCTAACCACACACCGAAACCTCGCGCCTCTCCCAGTGCAACGCAATAAATTCGCTCAATCTCACAGACAGAAATGCTTCCTTGCTCATCGACGACATTGCCCTCTACCACTTCTCTCAGCGCAGCAGATTCGAGACATGGCATCGCACTTTTTAGCAACCGGCCGGGACGGTGAAGTCCTCGGTGCGGTTGCGACCACCGTTGTATCTGGCGTTTTCGCCGAGACCACGCTTGGCAAAGGCCTTCCAGAGCAGGCACTTGTTGGCGGAGCCAGTGAGCTTCTTGTCTGCGTCGAGGATGGCGTCTCGCGCAGATACCATGCTAGGGTTGCACGGCTGGATGGCCATGCCGCCCATGACGAGCTTCATGGTGAGGAAGCGGCCGTCCTTGGGGACACGCTTGTCGTCAAAGGTGGGGTACTTGTCGGCGGTGATGCCGTGCTCGTCAACAAGGTTCCAGAAGACCTCGTAGAGGGTATTGGCCCAGATCTCACCCATGGCGTGGACCTCGTTCTTCTCGTTGGCAGAGGCGTAGGTGTAGGGGTTCGTCTGGATGTTGGTGGAGTAGGGGAAGGACCGGATGCCCTTGGGTTTGTTGGAGACCCAAACACCGAGAGGGAAGTCCTTGGTGCGCGTGTCGTTGGCCTTGGCGAGGACGGCAACGGCCATGAAGTCGGACCAGCCCTCTCCCATGCCTCCGGACTCGAGACCATTGAGGCAGCCCGAGTTCGCAGGGCCGCCGGTCAGGCGGGTGGACAGGCCGTGGGTGTACTCGTGGAGAACGACGTCAGAGTCAAAGGCGCAATCGCGTTGGGGGCTGGCCAGAGTCCACATGTACATTCTCATGCGAGCGCGCGAGCCATCGGGAGGTGTGGCAAAGTTGGCATTGTTAGTACCGCTGCCGTCCTGGGAGTTGAGGACGACGAAGTCATTGCCCTTGCCTCCCTTGCCGTTGTTGTTGGTCTGGAAGTTACCGGCGGCCTCGTTGAAGCCCAAGGTGTAAAGCAAGTCGTGATAGGTGTTGGCGGTGTAGAATAACTGAGTGATGGAGGCATCCTGGTATTCGGTGCTGTTGGACTGGGTAGGGGAGTAGTTGTACTCAAACTTGCGATCAGCGGAAGTTGGGCGGTAACTGTTGGCGAAGTCGTTGGTATTGTTGTGGCCATCGCGGTTGGTCTGAGCAACGGCATTATTGCCCCAGAGGGTGGTGTAGTCCTGGGAGCCATCGCCGAACCAGGTGAATGGGGAGGCATCGACGTTCCATGGGTCAGTCTGGACAGAGCGAGCGCCTTCAGTAGGATCGTTGATGGTCCAGGGATAGACCTGCAAAGTAGCGAATTCGGAGACGAAGTCAACAACGCCGTGAACGTCCTTGCTGTTGTCGGCATCAATATACGTCAACAGCCAATTGTCCATGACATCAGTCTCAACTCTCCAGGCCAATGCCAGCGAGCCATCATCCTTGGTGAGGTAAACCAGCTTGGCCGCGGGATCGCTGACAGCACCCGAGGTTCCTTTGAAGGTGTAAGTCTCAGCACCTTCCATAGCCTCTGACGTGGCGTCGGTGGGATTGACAGGGAGCGCAAGGATATCGACAACGGCCTTCAAAGCGTTGACGGGATCAGTAAATCCACGCTTTTGTATGGGGCTCTCAGGAGGAATCTCGCCATTGTAGAAGCTGTTTCCGTAAGAGAAGATGGTGCTGTCAGGGTTGACATTGACGTTGAAATCAGCATTGTCGATATCAATGCCGTGGACAGTCTGCTTGAAGTTGACGTGGGCAAGGCCATCGGTGTCGACATAGTGATCGTCAACAACACGGAACTCAGCGTCAGGGAGAACAGTCTTGACCAGCTGGGTGGCAGAACTGACGTAGTCTCCTCGCTTCTGTATGCTGCTGATGGCTGGGTCTGATTCGGCCTGTGTTGAAACTGTGTATTCTGATGATCCTGGCATACGGAACTGGCTCACGTCAACGCCACGCTTACCAAGAGAGGCCTCGTTGGCGTGGTGTCTTTGAGGATGTGCCAGAACGTTGGCGGCCAGGCCAGTGAGGCCCAGAATGGCTGCAGACTTCATGCTGAATAGTATATATGAATAGTAAAACGATATAGGTTGCTTTCTGACCTGAATAGGTATCTGAGCTGAACCTGGTATAATCTGCCTTGGGAACTTTTACATTTCCGGGGATTCTCGTCCCGACTTTATACTCCTGTCGGCTCCGACAATGAACGAACTTTCAGGTGATCGTTTCTGGAAGCTTGTCATGTATAGGTAATCACGGAGAGTCGAGCTTCCCGTTCGGTCTACGTATCAGCGATGTGACCCTGAAAACTTGAAGTAGACCTGCCTAAAGATGCTACTCTGCGCCAGCGTTTGCCTTCAGCTACCTATTTAGGACTGGGTAATAACTTGATTTTCTTCTAGGAGTACCCTCGGCAGTCATTTATGCCTATGTGTCGCAAGTCCGATTGTCCGGGTTGCAACTCTAAACTGCGCAGATATGAGGGAAGATCATACCGGCCAAGTGGAGGGTATCACGCTCGGCCTTGGACTTTGGAAAGTAAGAGAAGAAGTCTGCGGCATGACCTCGTTGCAGGTTTCCTGGCATTTACGTGACCTTGCCAAAACATGGCAAATCAGCATTGATTGTGAATATTTGTGATGTGATATGTCGCATTCATCCGATAGTTCCGTGCCGGATCACCGCTCTGTACCTTGGTTTCTGAGATATCCTGGTCATATTCATGATGATCAATTCAGCCTGAAAGCATGCGCATTCGTATGATCAACCTGGCTACTACTGTACATAGGTTTCAGTGGTCTCTGTTACAATACGCCCGAACGGGCATGTGTACACAAATCTGCATCACGCGGATTCAACAGAGATTCCTTGTTTCCCCTGGATTCTAGTATGTACAGGGGCTTGTCCTGGACCAAGTCTCTGGAGCTTCTTAGTCGGGTATAGTTGAACTTCCGATGCCTCGCTTTTCGCATCAGCCACTAGACACTCCGTTGATAGAACGGTACGACTCCTTAATCTGAGCCTAGGTTACTAAACAATGACCGAATCGAACCAAAGCCTGAATAGGCAACATGGCGATAGCACCAAACATAGAAAAATCCCATTGCGGGATGCGGACCCGATATGAGGACCTGCCAAATCGGGCTTGTCAGCCGTCTTGGATATTTGATTCATTGTGCAACTAGCTTAGTGAAAAGCATACTGACCTCGTTTATTTTGCGGGCCCGATACCCTTCAGTCTATTTCCAGATTCCAGATTTGTCGTCCAGACTATCCGCAATATTGCATGATCTTTGGGGGTCCTCGGCTTGTTTCAGTTGTTTTTCAGCCAGCCCATGCCCATGCCCAGCGTTGGCGGGAAAAGTAGCCTTGAGAGTTCATCGGCGAAGTGTAAAGACTCGGGCTGGTGGTCGTTGATGCAATCCATCCTGCTTGGCGTCATGTACGTGCCAAGCTGGCGGCCTCCATTGTGTCAAGCCAATCAAAGATGATGTTGTCAACTGGGGTTCTGTATGTAATCGCCTCGGTCGCCCCGGTCATCTTGGGACCACGAGCCAAGGCTCACGATGCGACACCACCAGCCAGCACTCCGTCCCGGAGGTTACATCTCCGGATAAGCCAGCCCAACCCCAAAGATGCAGACTGTCGTGGAGTTGCATGAACAATGGCGCGTGGCAAGATAAGGTTTCAACGTAACTAAGAGTCACCAGCTCAGTTAAGAAGGTAACCATCAGAATGCGTCCCTACTAGTCGTCACATACAGCAGGCTTGCCTCCATCGATAAAGACGGAGAATGGTAGTTCCCCAGGACCCTCCAACTCAACTGCTTTAGTTGACTGCGGCCAACAGCCAGTTCGTGAAGGCTCCGAAGCTGTTGTCGAAACGCAACATTGGCATTAACCCCTCATCTAAATATATCAGCACAGGATCGCCAAGGACCCCAAACCAAATGCTCCTCCTTCTCATGCGTACTTGGTGCCATGCAAGACATCGAACATCCGGATACTTCCGGGGAAGGGGCTGTCTCAGATATCAATACTGTCAGCCGCTACCACATGGCGGTCAACTGTGTTTGAGATGGCACCTGTGAGCATCGGCGAGAACATTAGACTCGTCCAGTGTTTGTAAAGCTTAACTGTTCTAGGATTACTCAAGATTTTGTTCCCCGGCTCAACAAGTTTCCTTCCTTAGCGCCAACTACCCACAAAGGATTGTCGGGCATTGTGGTGACAATGTGTACAATGGCGAGGCTTCTAGTCGGTATCCGATTTTTTTATTTTCATTCGGCAGGAATACACTTGGCATGGATGATCATGTCCAAACTGCTTTTGAAGGTATCGAGTGGCTCAAACGCAAAGATGTGCTCCGTAGATGGGTGGCTACTGGTGGCAACTGGCAAGAGATTGAACTTGAGGCAGGTGCTCGGACCTTCCTTTGCACACCAAACGCGGCGCCTGCCCCATAAAGAGCCAGAGCACGACCCAGAACCCTGACTCGTAATTTTCCACCGCACAGCTTCCAACCTTGTGAGCATGTCCTCCAGGGAATTTTTGGTTCGACAAGTGTCATTTTTGATTACTGTGTCTGTGTCAGTCGAGCAGTATGGGTTACAAATCCCCCCCTCCCCCAAGGAAACGGTGCGATTCAGTATACCGCCACGTCCTACATCTTTCGCTTTCTGACCTTCACATGTACACATATGAGAATTCTATGCTAATTTTAGACCTAGAAAACCTTGAATCGGCTCTATGAGAAGGACTGCGCTCGACAATGACCCCAAAATCGAAAGTCGACAAGCAACCACAATCCCAGCGGACAGTCCATTATTCACTATGAATAGCCCGGGAGGTACTAGAGTGCCTTTACAAGTTGCGTAACTTGCCGAATCTCTCCTTGCTTTATATTTAGTACCAAGTTCACTGCTATTCCGTCAATACGTTCTGCCCACTGGGACACAATTTGAACTGGAGACTCCCTATCGCTTGACTTACCCTAAGCATGGGCACCGTGCTAGTCATACAACAATGATTTCGTTCTATTGAAGTCAGACTCGCAACTGGTACTATCCAGGAAGCCAAAGGGAGTCTCGCTCCCATGCAATGCTCTAGATAACCGTGTGTATATTACTAGTGATTCAACGGTTGCGTTCGTGGTGGATTGCAAGGGACTGGAAACGTGTTTTGAAGCCGCCAATGTGCCCAGATGTCGCTATAGCTTTGGCGGCAACCCAACGTGATACAGTTGGATTTATGTAGGGTAGGCGTGATATGTCAAAATGGAGGTTTACTGAGCCTCAATTCAGAGCGAATGTTGGGCTCACTCCCCATAGGCGGCCAAGATTTGGGCGAGACAGTCTCTATTATGCTGGTCAACATTTTCGAACCAAGATGGCAGCAGATATCGATAACTCTTACCCAAGACAGCTAATACATTGGCGTGTTGAATCGAGAATAACCAGAATTAAAGGAGATGATGCGTAAAGGGAATCAGCAGCCTTGGATACTTGTCATGGTAGTTGCAGTCCCAAATCAAACCCAGACCTTGGAAACATTACCACATTGCGAAAACTGGTAAACGTATTTGACAATACACTTTTACCCTGGCACTACAAGACTTGAGGGGGGGAATGACTTGTTCAGATACTCTCGCGATGTGGAAAATGAAGTATAATAAGCTAGAAGATGGCACGATAAGACTTTCCCCAGCCGCATGCTTCCGATCCATCCTGAGCCTGTGTAAGCCTTTTCATGGCGTTGTATTTCGCGCTTCCCCATTTCATGTCTATTTGTGTCGGAATGACGAGCTCTTGACATTCGCATTCGTTGCATAAAATCGCCTCGACCAAGCTCGTTATTTTTTGTTTTTATTTGTTTTGCTCGAAGAACTAAGAGTATGCTATCACGATAAACTACAGCAAGAATAAACGGAAAACATACCGTGGCCTAGGTCAACTCTCGGTGTTGGTTATCACAAGGCAACCATTTCTGTTAATCTTTTTTTTCGGTGTTGACAGCTACACACTGCCAGCACTTAACCCGGGGCGTACCCTATAGCAATTCATACCATATTTAACACAATCACAACAAACATGACGCCTCTCAATTAAAACCGCGGATTCACCAGATTTACGAGTTATCACCAATGATTATTAATCCCCAGATCTGATTCATTCGGGCATTCTGGCCACCATGTTTCAAGACATCCGTCAAGTGATCTCACCGTTGTGGTGTCACTAATATCTACGGAATGTAAAACTCGTAATCGGGTCAACTTATTATGAAGCCATCGTTCTAGAGCTTACAATGCGACAACCGTTGGCCATTCTGAGTGAATCAGGTCGATTGTCTACGAGGCATATAGGTCACATGCTGGATTCAATCTTCTTAGCAACTTTCGCCAAATCATGTAGTTGTCACTAGAGGCCCCTGGCGCGATGCACTCGGTTAGGACGGCTGGCGGGACAAGGGACCTGTCCATCTTTAAAGCCAGCGGTCCCATATGGATAAGCCGGCTGGTTGCCTGTCTGATGTGTGTCGCTGTGTTCATGGCGCAGAGGTACCCGGTATGCTTGGGATAGTGAATATCACTCATCATGTCTTGGGCACAGTACATGCCACCAGGGTTTCATCTGGGATTGCCCGCATGATCGATTACACGATACAATTAGTAACCGACTTGTACGCCGATTCTGCTCTCCATTCTTTGTTCCACACGTGTCTCCTTGTGTTAGGATAACATCTAGCCAAGCACTCAGTCTGCGCTGCCGGCTTGTTGTGTGACCAGACGTGAGCAAGTCAGACCTAGTAGATCGCAGTTCAGGGCCATTAGAGACCTTGCCAAAAGCGGCAGTGGAATAGCTACAAGGTGCGTACGACCAAGTATTTAGTTTATCCACTGTTGGGGTCATTTGTGGAACAGATGGGTCGAGTATTCTTCAGTATTTGTGGATGTTCGGAATAGCGCTTGAAAAGACAAGGCGACGTTTCCGGGTTGGCGGCCGATGACCAAACATCCAGAGGAGGCACATAAGACACCTATACTCCATGATTGACAT